TAGAAATGTGGATTTTTAATATAGGGAAGGGTGTAATTTCCACTTTTATTATCCATTTAAACCCAAAATCAAACATAATTCTAATCCAATATTAATCCTTCTTTTGACAACCAACACGTCCACACAAGTTAGAAATCAAAATCAAACGGCAATGGCGATTCCTCTCTCTCTCGATCTCTCCATTCTCCAAGACTCCAACCTATTTTTCAAATTTTCAATCCAAAATTTCTATAAAATTAAGGAATCCATTACCCAAATCAAAGATTTTATCTCTTAAAAGTGTATTTTATCTGGACAAGACAATGGATTTTGAACTGTAGTTGGTGCCGTGAAGCTGAAGCAGTAGAGGAAAACATAAAACCGTCTTGTAGAGGTGGCTTAGCCTGAATACCTTCCGGTCCTTCTCCATCGCGCTCTCTCTCTCTCTCCAAATGGCTTGTATTATTGTATAGTTGTATAGGATAATAGGAAACGGGAGGTGATTCGGGTGAGGAAGAGGCGAAGAGGAAGAGCCATTTATAATTATAACCATTAACTAGTACGGGGATTGAGATTCTTAAAGAGATAAAATCACAAATTAAAGAAAGATTGTGGACCGTGGTTTACTTTAAAGCACAAATAAATAATTAAATATGTCGTGTCTCTTTTAAGTCTGTATTTTTATATTGTTCAAAAGCATCTTGAATGATTTTCACAAAATACAAAAAAGAACCAATTGCATTAATTGTAAACTAAATAAAAAATATTAAAAAAAATGTATGCTTTTACGAGTCGGTAGTGACTTAGATTTTATAACTTGGACCATTTTTTATATATATTTGTCGTTCATATTGATTATTGAGTATGCGTTTTTAAAAAATCGGAGTTTTCTTTTCAAAAATGCAATAAGTTTATCATTATCAAGGCATAGACGCAGTCCTAGTCCAACGGACATATAGGAAAAGCAAATTGCAAAAGCTTAATATACTCCATTGTCCCTTGTAAGTAAATGCCTTCGTCTCTCCACTTGTGGCCTTGCCGGCACAATATTAAATTATTTAATTAATTATTGTTGAAATGTTGCATTGTCGGCTTAATAACTTGTTATTGCCTTGTCGGCTTAATATACTAAAAGTACATTTTTTGATAGATTAACTGAAGATCTATTTTCATTTCCCCTGGAAATGAAGTTTTGCTCAAAACATGATATTGAGATATCCGATCTAGAAAGTTTGTATAAGGTTGGTCCTTTTCGTTCTTGTGATCCAATTACAATAAAGCATCATTATCACTTTGATGTTTTTAATGAAGCAATGGATTATGTATTTATGAAATTAAATACAAGATTTAATGATACATCAGTGGAACTTTTCACACTCAGTGTAGCTTTGGATTCTAGAGATTCATTTGCATAATTTAACACTCGCGATATTTCTACACTTGCTGAGAAATTCTATTTTGAAGATTTTCCAAAGCAAGATATTCGTACTTTGGAATATGAGTTGCGACACTATGAGCTAGATATGAAGACTGAAGCTTGATTTTAAGTATCTACACTTATTAAGTTATGTCGACAGTTAATTGAAAGTAAAGAATCAGAGATTTATATTATGGTCACTAGACTGATTTATCTTGTACTGACTTTACCTGTTTTTACCGCGACTACCGAGCAAGCGTTTTCAATAATGAAACATGTGAAGACGGATCTTCGTAACAAAAAGGAGGATGAATTTCTTGCTGATTGTATGACACTCTTCATCGAACGAGAACTTGCTCAAAAGATAGATATAGATTCTGTGATAGATGCATTTTATGTTGCAAAACGTCGTCAGGAACAGCTTCAAATTAAATGAATTTGACTTTAATATAATATATAAATTTATTATATTGACTTTTAAATTTTATCTCGTAAGCCAAAAGTTCTTGGATCCGCCACTGCTCATTTGTCAAAGCTTCTAATTATTTATAAGTAACGGATTCCAAGAAGTATCTGTTAAAAATTGCGTAAAAGTTGTGAGTTATGCCGATTGTGTAAATAAAAGTAAAGCTCAATTAACTTATATGCAATTATCAACTTCCACAAATACACAAAAACTTATTTATTGGTTGATCTAATTGAACTGATGAAAGTAATTCATAAGAATCGATAAGGGTGTCAAGTGGAGTGAGTCACCAGTGCAAGTTGAGCAGCAAAAAATCTCATGCTAGCTACTCGTACAATGCATGTTTAACTGTATCGAGTTACCCATAAATAAAGTTAAATAACTCTACTTACACCACGCTCACATCTGCAACCCATTGAGATTCTTTTGATCAAGCTGCAGCAATTGCAGGGATTTCGATCCCCAAATGATAAAAAAATAGCAAGTATAAAAATCTGTAAATTACAAAAAAATTAAAACACAATAACACGTGATTGTTGACTTAGTTCGACAATGTCCTAATTAGGGGGACTGGCTACCAGCACAATCCACTGTGTGCACCAAGAAACTTTCTGGAGAGAGAGCATTGTATAGTGGAATCAAAATCAGATCAAGATTTTGGCCAAGAAACATTAACACATTTAAAAATCAGATTCTAAACCACGCAAAACTCAAAACATATTCGAACCATACAAAAACCGCATAGAAAGTTCAATCAACACAATCAATAAACTGACTCAAGGCTACTGTTACAAGATCCAACGCTTAAAATTTTCAAATCTTTTCAAGATTACAACCTAAAAAGGCCGTTATGGGAAGAGAAGGATTTTTCGAAGAGATCACAGTGAAAGAAAACCATAAAACACTTGAGCCAAAGTCCGAATGCCGTTCCTCATAATGAAGTTTCCAAACGTGTTATTAAGGCCAGAAGATATCCCAACCATAGGAAAGAAGCACAATCCAATCACAAAAAAAAGAGCCAATTACCAGTAGTTTTGTGGACTCTTCACTTAAAAAGTTTTTTATTTTGTTGAAACATGTTTTATATATCTTTATAGAATGCCCTAAAACATACAAAATACTTGGGGGTTGTTTTACAAAATTTTTTAATAAAAGTTTTAACAAATTTTGATTAAAAAAATGGATAAAATGTGTGATTGAAAAGCAAAAAATTGTGAAAACACACTAATATCTTACCACTAAAAATGCTCTGGCAATTTGATACGGGCTTGCGGTTGGGCTGGCGAATCGATATAAAAAAAGGACAAGTGGTTGGTAGTTGATGGTCAATGGTGGGGTTTGGGAGGAATAATTTACTTTTTCTTCAAATGTTATGTTTATATATATTTTTAAAATAATTTAATTATTTTAATTAAAAATAAATATTATTGTACTCTTTTAAATATTTTATTTCTTTTTTATGAATATAAAGGGTCTAAAATTGTCCATTAAGGAGCTAAATGGAAAGGCTGTGAGAGCCAAGTTGTTATAATGACCATAACGTATGATCCAATGGTGTAATTTTCTTAGACTTTGTTGAATTTATTAAAGAACTTTTTTTTTCATGAACCAGATACACAATAATTAATCATTGATTTTCTTGGGTTTGATTCAAATTTGTAAAATAAAAAAATTATATTACGTAAATAAAAATAGAATCTATGTTTGCAAGAAGGGAAAGTGGCCACATATCTTCAAAGTGTCAAAATCACAACTTGAAGAGAAACGAAATTCCATTGAAAAGAAAAAAGACTTGTACTACGATTAAGAAAATGTCATACAAGGCAATGGAAAATGTCAAATAAACATAATGTTTGACACAAAAGATGACACCATACTCACGACCGAGGCATGGGTCCTACGTGAATAAAATAATGCCTACCTTCCCATGTGTGTGCTATGTCAACCGTTGTATCAATTCCTATGTTCGTATAGCACGGCCCCAAGGCAATTAGGTCTCTTGAAAATTTGCGTATAAATATACACAATAAAATATATATATTGAGGATGCCTGTGATATTAAGTACCTTTTGGCTAGGAATGTCAATAAGTCGAGTTGAACTGACTCACGAGTCAAAATTTTTGGCTTGGGCTTGACTTGGGTAAAATGTCCAAGCCTTATTTCGGGTTCAAGCCAAGCAAAAGCTCAGCCAAAATAATTAGGCTCGATCCGAACTTTCGGCTCGAATCTTTTCGAGCCGAGCCGAGCCGAGCAGGCTCATTTATTTTATTTTATTTTTATTAATATATAGGCTACTAGCCACCGACTCAATAAGGCAGCAAGGTTGCTCCCTTCAATTTTTAAATTTTTTTTGGATATATAAAAGCCTGCGAGCCGAGCCCTCGAGCCATACGGGGCAGCTCACGCTTGCCTCAGGAACCTAGATTGGGGCTCGACACGAGCCTTGACTCAGTATAATCGAGCCTCGAGCTGTGCTTTCATTTTTTTAACCGCACATTTAATGAAATTCACTATTTTTATCAATTTTTTTTACCATATATTTCACAAACTTTTATCAAATCTATAAAATAATTGACTTTTATCAATATTATACAGAGGTTTAATATGATTCCATAGCTGCAAGAATCTTGAGCTAGAAAAAGATATTTCACAAACTTTTATCAAATCTATAAAATAATTGACTTTTATCAATATTATACAGAGGTTTAATATGATTCCATAGCTGCAAGAATCATGAGCTAGAAAAAGAAACTCGACAAAATGTATTTTTACCCGCATTAGCTACCCAACTGGGGGATAAAAATTGGAAAGGAAAACTTGAAAGAATAAATTTTATACGCATTAAATTATTCAATAACTTTTAGCACTTAGCTCTCGTTTATTTAGTCGTTATTTATATTTTTTTAAATTCATTTTCAATCACACATTTTATAATAATATATTTATATGTAAACTCCAATATATATATATATATAATGAAAAATATGATTTTTTAAAATGTGTAGTTAAAAAAATAATTTTATTTTATTATTATTATTATTTTTTTTTTTTTCCCAATGGACGTCAGGTTAGAAAAAGTGGGTATCATTTTTCTGACCGGATATCATTTGAAAAGCAAAAAGTATATCCAATTTCAATGCTTTAAGTCCAGAGACGTATTTATCAGGATAACTATTAAGGTCAAGATCGCGGTGGGATTGATACTCCCAATGCCACCAGAAAAAGGGACTGTAAAAGGTTAGAAGGCTGGTAATCCACTCAGACGGTTGTTTCATCTCCCAAACCAATTTTCGTCCCCGAATTCAACCCAAATCCAATCTGCTCCAGGACAATGGTCATCAATCGACTGCAATAATTCTGGTAAGCGCGCTCGAGCAATTTGACCATGTCTTCTTGCATACTGAAACTTCCTTGATTTCATCCGAAGGGTAGAAGTATACTATTTTGGTAAAATTTTATTGGGTTTTTGGAAATTCGCAGATATTTTTAATAGTACTTGTTATGTTCTAGATCTTTGTTTGGGCAATGCTTATTGCTATATTTGTATTTGTTTATAATTTTCTTCATTCTTCTAGAATATTTTTCATTGGGTTAGCTGTGAATAGATTTTGCTCTATGGATTTGGCTGAAATAATGTCCCAAGATAAGTATTAATGTTGAATTCGACTGAGACTTATTATTATTATTATGCTAATTATTGGTTGTGCTGTTAGAATTCCACCCTTTCCTTTTTCAGAGGATATATTTTGAAATTGCGTTAGCTTTGTGCAGACGAATATATTGGGTTTGTTGTTTTCTTTTCTATTTTGTTCATCAATCGTTGTTGTATTTCTTTGTTTGTGCTGCATTTAGTCACTTGGATTCTGTTGCTAATTTTTATTGGATTTCGGTTTTATTAGATAGTTTTGATCATTTAGATAAACTTTATGCTCCGTGGTGTTAAAAGTTACTAGAAGCTACTTTTTGTTGATAATTTTGTCTTTTGTTGGTATTCATCAATCGTTGTTGTATTTCTTTGTTTGTGCTGCATTTAGTCACTTGGATTCTGTTGCTAATTTTTATTGGATTTCGGTTTTATTAGATAGTTTTGATCATTTAGATAAACTTTATGCTCCGTGGTGTTAAAAGTTACTAGAAGCTACTTTTTGTTGATAATTTTGTCTTTTGTTGGTATTCTAACTTTGCTCTGTAGAATTCTCGCTTTCTAAGAATCGGCGATGCTGTAGTCAAATCTAAATAAATAAATATCTCTCTTCTTTGAAGCTCATATTTGTAGATGAGGTAAATAAATATCTCTCTTCTTTGAAGCTCATATTTGTAGATGAGGTGATTGTCATAATATTTTACGAAGATTTCATATTTGTAGATGAGGTGATTGTCATAATATTTTACGAAGATTTGCGTTAGTTGAGTAGGTCAAAAAAAAAAATATATATATGAAAAAGTATAGTATCCTTTATTCTTTTGAGCTTATTTTCCAGGAATTGGCTGAATAAAAGACTACTACTTGAGGGCCCAACTTTAAAGATCAACCTAGGTCTCAAAATCTCAAGTCTGTCCTTGAATTTACCTCACAGCACCACTAGTCAAACCATCTCTCTCTCTCTTCCCCCAAGAATTCTGGTATACTGAGAATTACATTTTTGTGTTGTGAGTATATATTCTACTCCATTTTGAATAATGCTAAATTGCTAATGTATTTTTGTAGGCAGTGGATGGCGGTGATGTTGCAAGCAAAAGACGCGCTGGAATGGACTTATAAAGGAGAAGGTGGAGTCAATCTGGTTCTTGCTTATTGTGGAAAATCTCCTGATTTTGTGCGTTTTCTCCTTTTATATTTACTCTTAGATTTTATTGAATTGAATAATTATTATTATTATTTTTTTTTAACTGTAAAATTTAAGATCTCTCTCTTGATATAGTATATCAATACTGGCTTTAACACTTCAATTTTATAAGAGAAAGACCCTTTTATTATTTATTGCTGCTACCTTCATTAGGAAAAACTGATTCACTTCTAAGTTTTTATAGAAAAGCTGCTAGCTTTTATTGTTTATTTATTTATTTATTTTTTTTTTTTAACTGTAGAATTCAAGATATCTCTCTTGATATAGTATATCAATACTGGCTTTAACACTTCAATTTTATAAAAGAAAGACCCTTTTATTATTTATTGCTGCTACCTTCATTAGGAAGAACTGATTCACTTCTAAGTTTTTATAGAAATGTTTAGCTTTTATTCTTCCAACAATTGATCATTCAAGTAATCATAATTATTTATACAATCTTAACCAAACTGGGCCTAGGCTTACCTGAGGAAGTGGTTTTCTAGAGTTGCCTTCTTTTGAAGTTCCGTAGCACGGACGCTTCAATTATGATAGTGCGTCTGCGTCTGATATGTGTTATCAACACTCCTCAGACACTCTACCATAAACAATTTTCAATTTTTATTAAAAATATTATATATTTTTAACTCAAAATTATTAGTATATAACAATTAGATACTTATATATAAGAGTTTAACAAGAAAAATTAATAATAAGTATAAAATTAAATTTATATGATATAAATGAAAAATGTTAAAGAATTTAATCAATGTGTCGGCAACATGTCATATGAGTACTTTTTTTTTTTTTTTTAAATCGTGTGTTGACGTATCAGACACATATCGTGTTGGACACACGTATCCGTGTTGGTGTAGCATAGCTTGAAGCACTCTAGTGCTTTATGGATATTTTTTGGGGAAAAAAAAAGAAAAGAAAAAAAATAGAGGAATTCTTCATGTTTCAAATGTTGAATGGAGACTGTTGTGGAAAATTGATAAATGACGCGAGCACGTTATAGAGGAAGCCCAAAGATCTCCTAAGCACCAGAAGAGTAATTAGCCTGCATTAATTTATTTCCCCGAGGGAGAATCTTTTTGTTGGATTAAAGACCAAGATGAAATTACCAATGTTTTCGAACCAGGACTGAACCATCTGGTTCAATCGGAAAAATCGGGAACCAGACCAAAATTCGGTCTGGTAACAACATGAAAACCGGATGTAAAGAAACCTGTACAAAACTTGGAAAATTGTCCTGTTCATCTGAAAACTGTTGAACCAGTCACGGTTTCTCCGGGTTTCACAAATAATATTTTTCTTAAAAAAAATTATAGCGTGAAGAAGATGACAATTTACTGTAATTTCTCACTACTTATTAGCCATCAGAGCTCCATATCTTTTTGCTAAATCCCTTGTACAAGGTTTTAGTCAAAACATCCAAAACCAGTCTTAAGGAATACAAGTATCTAAATAGATAAAAATACAAATGCATTTATTTGTATCCATGTATAGAGAAAAGATAGAAGTCAAAGACGAGGCGGCCACAGACTGGAAAGATTCTAGAATTTCTGCTGCATTTCATTTGAGGGTTGGGTTAATGACTATAGTATGTTTTGGGCCTTTTGGCTCATTTACTTAATATCTTTGACCGTTAATCCTTTAACTTTTCCGGGTTGATGACCGGGCAGGTTTTCAAAACATTGGAAATTACATTATACTCTAAAATACGAGTATGGAACACATAAAAAATGAATTTTGAGCTGTGAAGTTTGTGGTATGAGTAAATAGCTTAGGTATACTAATGTCTGAATTCCAACATTTTATGTCCCATCTAGGTCGGAAAAGTTCTACGAATACAAAAAGTTCCAAGGAATGGATCTGCATACAATGGTCATTCTGCTCTTACCACGCATGAATGCCTCCTCTGGGGGGTACTTGAAGGCCTTGATTCAGAACCTACGCGGGAAATTATAGAGCAACTATATGTGCAGCAAGTAATGTGCCCGTTGTTAGGTTCCAAACATGTTGATGCTGGGGTAATTTTTTTTTAGCTTTGTTGGTTCTGAAGCAAAATATTCTTGCAGCTGTATTGAGTCCTTATCTCACCCTGATTTTTGTTTTTTCAATATACCTTAAGATCATTACATTACTCGTGGTCTTTAAATTTGCTCAATTGAAAATTATACAGCTATATTTTTCCTTGTTGCTATACTGCTCACTTATCCAGGAGCCCTGTATGTTATAATTGTCAATTTTCACTGTCTGTTTTATCCAACTTCACAACATATGATTCTTACTCTTGAAATGGTGACTTGGTGTGGTTCATGCTTAGCTGATACAGTATGTAACATGCTTTAATGAGGCATAAATTCCAGCTTGTTATTGTGTTACGCATTATATGGAAGCATTAACAATTGATCCTTTACTCTGGCTGTTTGAGTTATTAAGATTAAATAAAAGGTTTATTATGTCTCCTTTGTTTCAAATATAACAATTGACTGATGAATGAATTGTTGCCTAATGAATGAAACATGAAATTGACGATGGATTTGTTTCGTAATCAACATCATAGTTCGTAATATAATATTATAACCAGGATAACTGAGACTTTGAGCTTGTTTTGTGCCGTTGGCAGATTCGTGTTCTTGTGTCCAGAGAATTTTTGGAGGCGGTTGAAAACAAAGTTCTTTGTCAGCGTCCTTCTCGGAGAGTTCATGATGCCAAAGTCAATCCCCTATGTGATTCTGTGCTTTTGATTACCGATCATTCAATTTTCCCTCATGGTATCAAATTGTCTTCTAACATGCTTTTGAAAGACGAATCTTGCTCTTGCTAACCTCAATTTATGGTGCACGAGGCTCACATTTCTTTTTTTTAAGTAATATACTTTGAAAAATTCTTGATTTCGTGCGCAGAAATTTATATAACATTCTGTTGCATGCTTTTTTAGCTGCTTGAGGAAGACCCTCTATCCCATCTGTTTTCCTACAGAATGCTTTTCATTTGTTTGGAAAAAAGAAATTGTTGTACAGCTGTACAGACCTACCTATGTGGTATAGGTGTGAAAATACTTGATGCCTGTTTCATTTGTAGACTGATGTATTCTATGTAACCAATGTAGTTGAATGAAAGAATACATAAGAACATTACTAAGAACTAAAATTGGAAATTGAGGATATAGTATTTAATATATTTTTCTGAAAGTGCATCCTGTAAATTATTGAAAGGCAGGAGTTAAAAATGCCATGGAGTGGGTCTGTAGATTAAGTTCATGGTCCTTACTCATTAATGTAAAACCATCTTGTTCAGCAAATATGCCATTACCTCATATACTGCACATCATTGAGAGAAACCCAGGCGATGTGGGACATGCTACACTGCCCCTCAGCTCAAGGAGTGGGGCAATAGGCTCTCCCCTCCACAGAGGGGTAGAGAAACAACCCGGACCCATCCCTGGCTACCAAGTCCATGATCCTAACTCATCACTGTAGAACCGGCTTACAAGTTTACCTTCACCTTGTACACTGTACATCTCAGTAGTCCCCATGGATTTGGGACATGCTAACATGTGTTTTGTGTAGGAATCCTGATTGCTTTAGTCTTTTTGATTGTTGAATTTTTCGGTGCTGCAGCTGATGGATGTCTATTATTAACTTAATTATAGCTAGTTTTATCTAGTTTTTAACATGAATAGACAAGTATAATCCAAATGAACATCAAAATCCTATCTAACACATTTTTCGAGAGAAATGCATGGAATACTGCTTGACAATTTTGCTGATATAACTTTAGTGACTTGTTTTGCATTAATGATTTGCTAATGATGGTGTAAATTTTCAGTCTCAGGTATTATCAAAAACGACTTCTGCTTGTCTGTTGAGATAAAGGTGAGTCTTATAATATTCATATTCTGTACTTTCTCTTTTCTTGTTGAGAAATATACTTAATAATTATCTAAAATAAAGAACACTTCCATTGCTTCTTTTCTGCAACAGCCCAAATGTGGATTTCTTCCAATTTTGGAATTTATAGCACCGGAAAATGCTGTGAAGACAAGTATTAGTCGTTTTGAAATGTACCAGGCTCTGAAAATGAATCAAGGGAAGGTAATATTAGTTCTTAGATATGTTCTTCCCTCTTGAAAGAATTATTTTGATGGATTTCTAAATGCAATATGTCAAGTTTTTTACTGGATTTACATTTCTTGATATGATTACATTTATAGTTAAATCACACGTTTCTACAAACATATTATTAATATAGATAAGTTTCACATGTTTCTGTACCAGATATCACATATTAGTAAATATGATCCACTGGATTTGTTTTCTGGATCAAAGGACAGAGTACATAATGCAATGAAGTCCCTCTTGATGACCCCTCAGAACAATTTCCGGGTTTTCTTAAATGGTTCGCTTATTTTTGGAGGCTTGGGTGGTGCTGCAGACTGTACAACTTGTATGGTTGACCAAGCATTTGATTATGCACTGAAGCAAGTCATTCGTGCTGAAGATGGGATGCACACAAAATATTTCCTTGAGCTTGTTACTGAGTCAGTTTACAAGTCAGGATTATTAAATCGAGTTCTTGAAGTTCAGAAGCTTGATATTATTGACATTGAAGGGGCGATTCATTTATATTATGATATTGTTTCTCAGCCTTGTATGGTCTGCAGACAAAAAGGTGAAAAGGAAAGATATGCATCTCTGCATTCAATTCCAAGGGAGCAAAGCTTAAAAATTGTGAGGGACTATTTGATATCTGCTACCGCCAAGGACTTAAGTATGATGATTAGTTTCAAATCCAGAGAAAATGGGGACCTGGAGTCTTCATGTAGCACGGTCTATCTAAAATCAACCAATCAAATTTTCGATTACAAGGTGAGCAACTTCTCCAAATAATTATTGCTTATCAGCTTCTAGAAATAAAATGGGCGCTTTTAAGCGTCAAATGAGATTCAAGTTTTTATGAGCTTGACCTTTTAATTAACAGTAAACATTTCCTTTTTCTACAAAAATCTTCAATAAAATTATTTGCATTACTTATTGAAATTATATTAATTTGAACTACCTTACTAGATTTAGTTGTTCTATCTCTTTTTCTTAAAAAAAACAGTTGTGTGTGTTTTATTTATTTATTTATTTTAATTAAGCTATGCATGATCATGCAGAAAAGCTTTTAATGCGTATTAATTTTGAGGGTACTGCATATTGTCATGTGGAATGGCCTATGGATCATTAGGTCCAATGGGATTCACATGGAACCTACTTTTATCTCCTCTTGCCTTCTCTATAAACGTTGCTGATGTTGATAAACATGTAGGAAAATAAATTCAATATGCCGAGTTGAAATACTCAGAAGTTTTAGAATTATCTTTATGCATTGTATCTATTCTCGTTTCATTCATGGCTCATTGAGATGGAAATTTGCTAGGTAGCTTTTATTGACCTGGACATGAAACCGTTGAAGAAAATGGAGTACTACTACCAGTTAGATCAGCAGATAGTCAGCTGCTATGTCAAGATGAAGAGAGCTGCCAAAGAAGTTGACAATAGGGAGAGCATCAAGGAAACTTCTCAAACTAATTAAATGTTGTGAAGTTGCTTCCTATATCAAACTGTAATATAATGTTGGTAATATAGCCCCTGTTTTCATCCTTCAACAAATTAAATTATTAGTTATAGTAACATTCTTTACTACACATTCACACAATAAAATAGTTTACGTACAAACCAATAAAATTCCTTTAAAATTTAACCACATTCTTAAAAAAAATTCTATTCAAAACTCTAATTTCTCCCGTAATGGGAGACAAATAGGCTCTTATAGTCCTTTAAAATGCCTTTCATGTTTCTACTTGTGTAACTAATATATGAGCTTGGTGTGCATTGGCATCTAATTTAAGCATCCCAATTTTATAGTTCTATTGCCTATGTAGAGTTTTGAGTACTTGGAACTGTCAACTTCTCTCTCGCTCTCTGTTTCTGTGTGTTCAAGCTTGAGCATGTGTAATACAAACATGACTTTTCTTAAGTGGAAATTAAGCTGTTAGCTGGATTAAATTATTATTAATAATATTAATACTTTTGTTGTTATTCTTATTCTTAATAGATGGGAAATAAATTTATATCTGCATAAAGAACAACAGAAATTGATAAAAATCATCCACAACGACTTTCTCCTCATTTTTGATGTCATGCAAACTTGACCACCTGTCGTTTCTTCATTATCGTTTCTCCTCATCATCACAAACTTTAATCTGAATAAACCTTCTTTCGCCCAAATATCTCTCCTGTTTTGGTCCTAACTCTGGCAATAGCTAGCTCGAAGGACACTTCATGCATATTTTGGCATGCCAATTTCGATTGCAATCCTACACCCTTAAAGCATTGTAAGAGTTATGGATGAGCTCAATCAACCCTTGTGCTCGTTGCTGAGGCTAAGCTGAAGGTTCAACAATTTCTGAGTTTTCATTTCTATGTTAGCTACCTAAAATCTTTAGATAGATGCTTTTTGAATATGTGGTTGTTGTATTTGATTGAATTTCACCCAGTAATTAAGGCTGTAGAATGTGATTGAGGGTTCAAAATTAAGATGCATTTTGTGCTCTCTTAATGTACATGCTATTTATCATGTTTAGAATTTGGACAGCCAAATTCAGATATCTTCTGCTTGAATCACTTCCAGCGTGGAGGTTTTGCAGATCCCAGAATATAGATTCTATACTTTTAACTGATATAAAGCAGCCTAAGTGGATTACAATGGACTATGGTTCATTCCCCTAGAGGGAAAAGGAAGGTTCATACTTCATACCTAGTGGATGTTGGATACAGTCAAGAATTAAAAACGAATTTCAAGAATTGAGGAACGGCAGAAGGTGTACAAGTTTGAGAAAATTGATGGATAAATTGACAGCAAAACTATTCAAAAGGATACTAAATCGCCCAAAAGACTGGATGGAATAATTTAGGACTGTTCCATAAAGCAAGCAATATCATTAATCACTGAGGAAATTTATGAATGCAATGGTATCTTGAACCTTATTTTATTAATAAACTTTGATAAATAATTATCCTTTTACATTACGCAATAAATCACATGTACAACAAAGTAAATTGACGTTCATTCGTCGAAAAAATCTGCATGCATTCACTGATCTTGGGCATCCATATGCCTAGTGAATGTTTGGTACATTATGCTGGATTATTTAGATAGCATAATGCACAAGAGTTTAACACTCTTATTTGATAATATTAGTACTACTATACAGTTTACCTTGGTAAAGAAGTTACTATGTTTCAGCCAATTATCCCCAATTCTGTACGACTCTTCCTTACAGTTTCTCCAGCTTCAGATCCTGACTAGACTGAAATGAGTCCATGCTATTGTATAAATCAACAAAAAGACGAAGTTCAGCAATGCAAACCTGATAGATAAATTCTCACAAAAAACTTCAATAAAATGAGTAATACGAAGACTTAACTAACATTAGATAGTCCCACTAAATAATATCAATTGAAGCTCCTGTTTGATTCCCATTCTTTGGCCATAAAAATGAAAAATATTACCGTTACCCATCACATTAAGCCACCATATTTAACTTTCTATCTCTTGTGTGGGTCCCGTAATGATTATATTTTTCATTCTCATTCTTACAAAAATGGATATCAAACGAGGCCGAAGAACAAAAATGACATTACTATCTGCATCAAATTCAGGCACCTCGAACATAGGATTGCTATATTAAATGATTAATCCCATATACAAGTTTCAGGGTAAATTGCATAGGAGAAATCTTCATGGCATGTTCTTCGTTCATAATGTCCAATACTATCCAATACACCTTACCAAACATGCTAGTAAAAAAATTAGTTTCAAGATGACTAGGATTGCCATTTTTTCAGCAAGGGCGAGGAAAATTTCTAGGTATAAAGAAGACGATGTGTGCAAATGTACAATAATAAGAAACTAATCCATTCTCCACACACAAGCTTGACAGGCATCAAATAGCAGGCAAAGCAGGCATCAACATGTATATTAGAATAGGTAATATTGTACGTCAAAGTGAAACTACTTAAGCAAATCTATTTGATTCTACGAAAGCTTGCTCTTTGATCCAATAATCTCAGACAGATAACATTCTTCAAAAAGTCCATTATACTCAATCTTAACCAAGAATTTCGCCAAATATCCTTATTGCTGTGGAATTGTTAATATTTTCTCAGAAAAGCCTACCTTAAATCTGAATTTGCTAAGCCAGGTGTTTTATCTTCAGTTTCAGATCCTGACTCAGCAGTATATGTGTCTTTCCACGGCCCTTTATCAGACTTCATACAACCTCCTTCATACATACAGTTACAGCTACCGCCTAGGAAATCAGGCAGCTCACTGCCCAACAATGATTTAGATGAGTTGCAGAACCATTAGAGACTGAACTAGAATGACTGCAAGACCAAATTGACTCCAGTTACCTTTCATCAATCATTTCAAGCAATTTGCTTCGATATTTGTTGCCGATAACCTAGAGAATTGAAAAAACAGTCAGTTTTATCCATTACGCTGCTGGGACATACAATGACTAATTTAATTTGATGAACTATATGATCATACCTGAATCTTGGAAGCTATATCAGGGTCAATAAAAGGCTTGACTGCACTCCAAAGCAGCTTAAATCCTGGACTAGCATTTATGATAAACATTTGGCCCCGTGTCTGCAAAATTATTTGCTAAGGTTAACTCTGTTTCCTAGAAGAATGAATTGATTAGGATTTTATGCAGTATAAAAGAATAGAGACTTGGATAACTTTTGAGATATACTTTAGAATCATTATCAGCATAAATCTTTCGCAGATGCATAAGGACTTCTTGCGCAGGCCTAGTAAAACTCTTCAAGCCCTGAACAACAGAGTGAAGGGCACGAAGCCAAACCATATGGAATTTCTTTTGAATGATGGTAATCGACCAATCTAATTATTAACGAGAAGCCGTAGTTACCACTCCTTCAACGTCGAGAATTGTTGTACTTGAGTCAATGTGTGTGTTTGCAGCAGTGGAGCATGCTGGATACCTGATTGCAAGAGTCTTCTCAAACTCCTGGACTAGGTATTTCACATAACGAGTCAAAGTTGTCACTTTCAAAAGTCTGTCCACGTTAACCTTACCTAATCTTTCGATGTAAATAGGTTTTCCCTGCTTATCTACACCGTGATAACCCTGAGGGTAGTATTTTCGAACTTCATCCAACTCCTTGAAGTCAAAATCCTGGCAATGATTTAACCACTTAAGAGATGAGAAGCATGTGAAAGACGGATGAGGGTATGTGCATCAAAATTATCAACTTTAACAACAGCTCTTTCCAACATCATATAAGAAAATTATCACGTTTTGGGGTTAGACACGTGAGCTGGGCAGTAAGATCAAATCTACTGATTGCTTTGTAGTTCAATTTTTCCAAATCATAAAAGCAATGAGTGACCATTTTTTTATTGCCTAAAAAGCAGATGTTAGAATTCTTTCTATTGATGTAAAGAACCAGAGGTCCACCAAATTTATCTTGCTGCATTACAGTTAGGCGAGAAACTATACTATATTGCACACTTTTGAATTGGTTGCATGAGACGTTTGATGCCAAATTATTTGTACAGACGCCTCATGAACCTTTGCATAAAAGCCTAAAATAGCAGCACAATTTGATAGTTCATAAGTAATGAATTTGTGAAAATATATCAAGGAAATAACAGGGGGAAATGATAAGAGAAAGCCACCTCCACTATGGTATCAACACCAAAGTCTTGTCTGCAATGAAGTCTGTTATTCAGCAGGTTTTGGCTTTTCGTCATTGAGCTTTCTGCCTTCAAAGTCTGCAGATCATTGAGATTTGAGAATATAAATGACCTGTCCTATTTGTGGGAATTACCATTATGAAGAACTGATACAACTACTGCAAGATGGACTTTATTTTATGTATAAAGATCTTAAGCAAACAAGAACAAGAGAACATGTGATAAAACAAGTAGAGAATGCATTGAATTCATGTTAGATGACAATGCTTAGATGGATCCATGATAAATCAAGAAGAGATAAGATTCAAACTGAGTATATTCATGAAATATTAAACTAATTGCATTGAAGATAAATGACTGGACAAGTGAGTGACATGATCCAGCCACAGGCAAAAGGTCATGCAAAAGAGGCTGAGGCTCATGGAAAGCAATATGACTAGGCACCCTGAGTAAACAAATCAACTTACAGTAGACAAACACAACATGAAAATTTTCTTCTTGTTACAATAAGGTTCTGGACCAACCCTGCACTAAATGTATTTCACACATGTGAGGGTTGGGTTACCCAAAAATCTTTGGACATCACACAATCCACCTTACTCAAGAGCGCCCCTGAAAATCGTAGAAAAAATGATAGCTCTTCCCGCCATAACTCCGTCAGAATTCCAATATAGGATCATAGCAACAAAATTGAAATAAGATTGGGAAAGTCATCCACCCCCTAAATTTTGGAAGCCAGGCTGTCAACACCAGAATGTTTTGCAAATTGTAGATTCTTGCCGTAGACCATCACGCATTTGATGTCATCGGTTCAAGATAGAATTCTTAAGAATTTGAAATCTATAATAACTCGAAACCATCCTGTCAAGTGTGATTGATGTATTATATGAATTTGAAACCATATGTCCAAAGCGCTCTAGCAAGATATTCAGAAATTTTAACCCTTAGATGCTGAAGTATGAAGTAAATCAAATACCAAAAGGTTAAAGTTGGCATTTACCAACTCACGAACAGCATAAATTCACAGTTTTAAAGTGGAAAGTGAATCCTGAATAGCCTTTCCAACAGTCCCAATTCATTCCTAAAATTTCCATCAACATAAAAATTACTAAAAGCTATATAAAAACTCATTATTCGTCAAATTCCAGCACTTCTGCACTTGTATGCGAAACACAGAGACAAATTAAAAGGAAACGAAACTCGAAAACCTTTATAATTGAACAATAAGGCGGCAAGGTTCAGAAACAGAAAAGAGAGACGCACTCTGTAGATATAGAAGAGCAGAAACTCTGGATCTATAGCTTGGTAGAAAATTGGTAATAATCAAGTAAATTGCAGAGTTCGAAGTCGAAATTGAATTCGAGTTGCGGTGCTGCCGTGAGGTTTTGAGCAAGCAAAATGGTGGGGCTCACCGCCACGTGGCGGCACAATTGTGGTTTGATGCTATTTTAGGCGGGAATATGCTGAGGAATACCGAATATGGATCGCCTGAAAACTTGCGGACGTAACCATCCACTTCCACTTGCGTTTTAAATTCATGTTCTATAATAATGCCATTTACAACATTATGTATTTTGTCGTGAAGAATTTTTTCTCCTTCTCTGTCTTCAAGTAATTTAAATGAACATGAACGAAAATTAATAAAATATTCGATTGCTACATAATAAAAGTAATGGGGCATAACCGGTTTCTTCTCTATTAAAATCAACAATTTCTTTGCCACAAGTTGATATTTAGCCTCCGTTTGAACAACATTTTTGTAAAAAGAATGAAAAATATAGTCGTTATGAACCCCACATAAATGATAAAAAGTCAATTATGTTGGATTAATGTGATGGATAAATGTCATATTTTTCATTTTAATGAGAAAATAATGAACTTAAACAGGGCCTTAAAATATCTTTCAAGTAAAATAAGTAGATACGTCTTTCGTGCCACCATCAAGGGATCGGTGGCGGTAAAGCCATCATGTAAAAATGACTTAGGAGTGGAGCACTCCTTCGCACCAAACATGTTGTCACGGGAGAGAAGAACTCGAATGTAATTATGTTGACTAAGATAGAAGTGATGTCGATTTTTATCCTATAATCTAAGTATCGATCTTACAAGGAATAAGTATTTAGTCGAGTTCTCAATTAAATCCCACTTTAATAGAATGTAAACTCACAAATAGGTAGGTGAAGTTCGATGATATTAACAACCTAAATCTATAATAAATAAAGCACCAGATTCCTGTACTCTCATGTAGGGATGGACGTGGGTTGAGTTGGGTCGATTTTTCCCAACCCAAGGTGATCGGTTTGATGGAAATTTAACCCAACCCAACCCGTATAAAGGTTGAAATCCAACTCAACCCAATCAAGTATCGGTTGGGTTGGTCTGTCGATTTGGGCAATTGTCAATGAAGAATAAAGTTATCCAATTTTTGCGTCTTGATGTCTTCTTTATACTTAATTTAAATAACGGAATTTGGTTTGTCCTTCCATTGATCAAAATGCAAAGAAAATGAGGAAGACATTCAGATAATTACACACCAAGACTAAATCTAGAAATGCATATAAAATGTTTAAACTAACATAGATGATAAAAGAGCAAGAAGCTGGCATAAAAGATAAAAT